CTTGGGTTTAGCATATGTAGCGCTTACAATTGAGGTATGTTCCTATAATCCCTAATTTTTCTAGTGTTTTAAGCAGGAATGTATGCTATAATTTGTCAAATGCTTTTTCTGCATCTATTGAGATAATCATACGATTCTTGTCTTTATTGATGTGATGAATTACATTTATTGATTTCTGTATGTCAAACTAACCTTGCTACCCTTGGATGAACCCCACTTTATCATGGTGCACTATCTTTTTAATATGTTTTTTATGCAATTTACCAATATTTTATTAAGAATTTTTGCATCTACTTCCATCAGGTCTGTTTTGTTCTGAAATTTTTGGTCTGAAATTTTTTTTCCTTGATGTGTCTTTGTCTGGTTTTGGTATCAGGGTGATACTAGCTTCATAGAATGAGTTTGGAAGGGTTCCCTCCTTTTCTATTTCATGGAATGATTTGATGAGGATTGGCCTTAGTTCTTTGAAAGTCTGGTAGAACTTGGCTGAGAAACTGTCCGGTCCTGGGCTTTTCTTGGTAGTCTTTTGATGACGTCTTCAATTTCAGTGCTTGGAATTGATCTGTTTAAATTTTCTATGTTCTCCTTATTCAATTTAGCTAGGTCATCTATCTCTAGAAATTTATTGATGTCTTCGGGATTTTCTATTTTATCAGAGTATAAATCTTCAAAATAATTTCTGATTATCAACAGTATTTCAGTAATGTCTGTTGTGATATTTCCTTTTTCATTGAAAATTTTAGTAATTTGAGTTTTCTTTCTCTTTCTTTTTATTAGCTTGACTAAGCATTTATCAATTTTATTTATTTTTTTAAAGAACCAACTCTTTTGTTGATTTTTTTTTATTGTTTCTTTTGTTTCAATTTCATTGATTTCAGCTCTGATTTTAATTATTTCCTGTCTTCTGCTTTTGGTGTTGATTTGTTCTTCTTTTTCTAAGGCTTTAAGATGTAATGTTAGGTTATTTATTTGTTGACTTTCTAGTCTTTTAAAAAATGAACTTAATGCAATGAACCTTCCTCTTAGCACTGCCTTCATAGTGTCTCAGAGATTTTGATATGTTCTACAGGTGTTCTCATTTACCTCTAAGTATTTTTCATATAATCCCTGATTTCTTCTGCTGTCCATTGGTCATTTAGTAGCATATTATTTAGTCTCCAGGTATTAGAGTAGCTTCTGTTTTTTATTTTACTGTTGATTTTTAATTTCATTCCATTATGATCTGACAGAATGCAAGGTATTATCTCTATTATTTTTGCATTTGCTAAGAGTTGCTTTGTGGCCTAAGATATGGTCTACTTTAGAGAAGGATCCATGTGCTGCTGAGAATAAAGTGTATTCAGTCATTGATGGATGGAATATTCTATGTATGTCCATTGAGTCTAAATTATTAATTCTATTTTTTAGTTCTGTAGCTTCTTTATGTAGTTTTTTGTGTGGAGGATCTATCCAGTGGTGAGAGAGGTGTGTTAAAGTCACCCAGTATTATTATTATATTGTGGTCTATTTGATTCTTGAAGTTAAGAAGGGTTTGTTTGATAGATGTAATCAGTCCATTGTTTGGGGCATAAATATTTATGATTGTTTTGTCTTGTTGATATATAACTCCTTTAAGCAGCATGAAACGTCCTTCTTTGTCCCTTCTGAATAACTTTAGCTCAAAGTCCACTTTATTGATATGAGGATAGAAAGCCCTGCTTGTTTATAAGATCCATGAGAATGTTATGTTTTTTCCTATTCTTTTACTTTTAGTCTGTGGATGTCTTTACCTATGAGATGAATCTCTTAGAGACAGTATTAAAATTATTATTATTAGCTGGGCCTATAATCCCAGAGGCTTGAGAGAATGAAGCAGGAGGATTGTGAGTCAAGGCCAGTCTCAGCAAATGTGAAAAACAACTCAGTGAGACCATGTCTCTAAATAAACACAAAATAGGACTAGGGATATAGCTCAGTGGTTGAGTACCCTGAATTCAATCTCTAAATACCCCACACCCCAAAAATTATTATTATTAAAGTACTACACGAATATAGTCTCAATGTAAGTGTTCTAAACAGTGTGGTAGAATACAGCCCTAAATATCCAGGTCAGCTGGCACAGCAGTGCATGCCTATAATCCTAATAATTTGGGAGGCTGAGGCAGGAGGATCACAAGGCTGGCCTGAGCAATTTAATGAGACCCTGTTTCAAAAAAGTAAAAAATGAAAATGGTTGGGGATGTAGCTCAGTGGTAAAGTGTCCCTGGGTTCAATCCCCAACACCAAAATAAACAAACAAGATACATTAAGCTCTCTCTCCACCATTCTGCAGTATCCCCTAACACACAAATTTCCTTCCCCAGAGGTAGCCATTGCCAGCACTTGGTGAGTACTCTCCACGTGCCATCCATTTACTGAGGTGTGTGTTTACATGCATTTTTATTAAAAGGAGCTCGTATTCTTTGTGTTTTACCAGTAACTTCTGCTTTTCACTTACCCATAACGTAGTGTGTCTTGGGAAACCTTTCCCTGTCAGGACATGTAGATCCAATGCTTTTCTTTCTTTTGTTGTGAATGGTTATGTAGTATTTCACTTTGTGGGTGTACCTAACATTTAACTGCTTATCTATGGATAGATGTTAAGGCTTTAGTTTTTTTACTCTTATAATGAAGTAATCTTATGCAAGCATGTCTTTGTGAACATGTACAATGTTTCTGTTGGACAATTGCCCGGAAGTGGAATCACTGGCTCAAAAGTGAATGCTATTTTTATGGCATTTTGATGGATGCTATTTTTTGATGGATGCTGCCAAATTGTCTTCCCAAAGGATTTCACCAATTTAAACTCATACCAATGGTGTTCAGGAGTGCTTTTTTCCAAACACTTGATAATGTCATTATTTTTAGTTTATGCTTTTAGTCTGATAGGTAAAAAGTGCTGTGTGGTTATTACTATTGCGTTCTTCTAGATTGTGTCTTTGAGCTTGTTTCCTTTCTGTCTATCATTGCCAGTTACTCAATGACATCTTTTATTATTTTCCTGGGCCCAGTCAATCTGTGTGTCTGTCCTATCAGTGCAGGGTAGGATATCTTTTTTATCACTTCATAAGTCTTTAGGCAGGGGATGGAATAAACTTCTGCACTCAGTCTGCTATCCTGGTAAATTTCTCTCATGGATTTTCAGTTGTAACTATCTAATATTTACACTTTTGAATTTTTTCCTCTTTAACACTTATTTTTTTCTTTTCTGTCTTATTACATAGCAGTATAACTGGAATGTGATATTTTTACTCTGTCTTCACCGTAGGTATAATAATTTCTGTACTGATACCTATTTCCAGAATGTTATTGTTGAAATAATGTTGGTTCCAGCACTTGAGCTTAAACGCTGTGGCCCAGATGGTTTTACTGGTGACTCTATAATTTTATCACTCTTGGTCAGTGATTTCTGAATATAAAGATGAATAGACTGCTGCCTATCTGATCTATAACCCAAACCAAAACTAACATTGATACTATCCAATAATAGTAGCAAAAAACCAAAAACTTGAGACCTTCGTCACTTTTGAATATAGATATGAAAATCCAAAATAATATATTCTCAAGTAGATACTATCAAATTCATTTCCCCAGCAAGGTACAATGAATAATAGCCAGAGAAGATGTATTCTAAGAATGAAAGAATGATTCAATGTTAAGAAACCTGTGAACATTAAATGAAAAATTGTGTTTACCTCCATAGATGCAGAAAATGCATTTAAGTTGAACAACTATCTGTAATAACTTTTTTTTTTTTTTTTTAAAGGAAGGGCTGGGGATGTAGCTTAGTGGTAGAGTGCTTACCTCTGGCATGCATTAGGTCCTGGGTTTGATTCTCAGTACCACAAGAAATAAATAAATAAAATTTAAAACAAAAAAAAGTAGGGAGAATGTTTTATTTACACATTCTTACTAGAGGCAGAAACAAACAAGGACTTCCTCTGCTGCTTAATATTTTAGAAATTCTGACCAATACAGTGAGGTGTGGAACAGAAATAAGAATTAAGGCTTTGAGGATTAAATAAGGTGACATTTATGCTTCCATTGTTACAGTATTTCTGATGCAAACAAGACTCTAAAATTGTAGATTCTACTAATTTATAGACAGACACACACACACACATACATATACACACACTGACAAATAAGATATGGTCATTCTTTAGTATCCATGAGGGATTGGTTCCAGGATCCCCTGAGGATACCAAAATTTGCAGATGTTCAAGTTCCATATATAAAATAGCATAGTATTTGCATATACCCTCTGCACACCCTCCCATGTGCTTTACATCATCTCTATAAGATTATAAGTAATTACTTACAATATCTAATACAATGTAAATACTATGTAAATAGTTGTTATGTTGTATTGTTTAGGGAATAATGACCAGAAAAAAGATCTGTGCATGTACAGACATATTTTGTTTTCTGAATTTAGTTGAATCTAAATACAGAACCCATTTTTACAGAGGGCTGGCTTTATTTACAGAGAAAAGACACGGTTATTACATGTATCTTAGCATGTGTGTCCTGGTGCTTTTTAATAGTGGCCCTTGCCTATTGAACCGTCTTGATTGCATGGTCTGTGTTGAGGTTTCTCTGAAGCCTTCAGTTGCCAGCACAGGTGGGTGCTGTGTACCTGCACCTGACTAAGGGGTTGGTTTCATGGTGTTTTCGATGACCTTTCAGTGAACAGGGAGTACAGAGGAATGAGTCCCCAACTGGATGGTAAGTTACAGATGAGCAGAGGATACAGAAACCAGAGCTCAGTGGAGACACTGTGGTCTTGACTCTTGCTTCCTTGCTTGGCAGACCACTGTGCACCCTCCCTGCTGGGCACTTCTGTAGTGTGCACGGCTGACCTTCATTAGGAGTCATTTGGAAGTCTCTAATTTGGCTAAACGCCACATAGAAGTCTAATCCAAGTAGCTAGCTGGTTTATGACTTCAGTGTTTGAAATCAGTTTCTTTCTTCCCTGACAGCATGTGGAGAGGCCCAAATGTGAACTGTGTTGACAGCACCGGCTACACACCGCTGCACCACGCTGCTCTGAACGGCCATAAGTGAGTACGAACGGCTCCGCTCCTGCCCTGCCCTCAGAACCCAGGCCTTCAGGGTGTCTTTTTCACTTCCTGTCAAGCTTGGCTAAGTAAGGCACCGAGGAACAGCGAAAAAGAAACTCTATTCAGCTCATGCAGAATCCCTGAGTTTTTCTTTAGTGTATAATTTAAACATCCTCTCCTGCCCCCCACCCCTGAAACCTTTAGCCAAGGATTCAATTTTACTTTTTCCTGTGCTTGTCCTTTTCCCCTCTGGAATGTTCTAGTGTCTCACAATGATGTAAATATGAAGATCAAATTTGGGGCAGCCAAATCATAAAGGGGCTGGAATCTCTTAGGTGACCCCTTGATAAACTGAAAATAGATTGAGTGGTCATGGGAAACTTGTCTTCTGTTGTGAGTACTTTGTCATTTACTCTGTCATTCTTTCCCTCATAAATCAGCTTCATAGACAACAAGAGCTGCCTTTTTTTTTTTGACAGTACTAGAAATTGAAACTAGAATCTCACACATGCTAGGCAAGTACTCAATCACTGAGTCATACCACCAACCCAAGAACAATTTTTTTAACCTTTATTTCATTTATTTTTATGTGGTGCAGAGGATCGAACCCAGGGCTTTGCATGCGCTAGATGAGCGCTCTACTGCTGAGCCGCAATCCCAGCCCCAAGAACCATTTTAAAAAAATATTTTTAGTATTAAATAGACACAACACCTTTCTTTCTTTCTCTCTTTCTCTCTCCCTCCCTCCTTCCCTCTCTTTCTTTCTTTTCTTTTCCTCCCTCCCTCCCTTCTTTCCTTCTTTTTGCTGAGGGTGGAACCCAGTGCCTCACACATGCTAGGCAAGCACTGTACCACTGAGCTAAAACCCCCAGACCCCAAGAACCTTATTATTATTATTATTATTATTATAGTTGTAGATGGACACAATACCTTTATTTATTTATTTTTATGTGGTACTGAGGATCAAACCCAGTGTCTCACATGTGTAGGCAAGCACTTTACCACTGAGCCGCAACCTCAGCCCCCAAGAACCATTTTTTTTTTTTTTAGTTGTAGATGAACAAATGCCTTTATTTTGTTTATTTATTTTTATGAGGTGCTGTGGATTGAACCCAGTGCCTCACAGATGTGAGGCAGGCACTCAACTGCTGAGCCACAACCCCAGCCCCATATTTTTTTTAAATGTTTTTTTAGTTGTTGATAGACCTTTATTTTATTTATTTACACGCGGTGCTAAGAGTTGAACCCAGTGCCTCACACATGCCAGGTAAGTGCGCTACCACTGAGCCACAGTCTCTGCCCCCCAAAACCATTTTTAAGGGCAAAAAATTATATAGATAAACTACAGGAGAGGGTGTTAGGAATTGGGTGGCATTTGCATGAAAAGACTTCTGGAGAAGGCATGCTTTGGGAGGAACTCTGAGAGAGAAGGCAGAGGCTTAAAGGGTTGGGTTCTGTGCTTCAGGTGAGGAAGGTGTAGTACCCCAGCAAAGGGGCAGACCTGGTTGTAGGGCACAGTGAATGGGTTTGCCCGAATGCCCTAGAATGAAAATAAGAATAGAAGGTGTTAACAGGATGGAGGGTGTTAAAGAAGTTTGAAGCAGTAGTTGAGTTTTTATGAGGAGGGAATATTGTAACTACTGTAAACTTTTCTTTTCTCCCTTTTCACATTTTGTTTCTTTACTCCTGGATAGTGAACCCAGAACCTCATAGATGAGACACTTTACTACTAAACCACACCACTGCCCCTTATTTTAGATTTTTCTGAGCAAGGAGCAGGCCCTCACCACCTTACAGTATTCCATGTCATTTGTCCAATAGTTGGCCCAGCCTGATTGACTCCAGTGTGCCAAAAAGAGATCATGGTTGTTTTCTTTAGCTTTAAACTTGTCTAAAATATATCAAATGTGATCACTGTCTTTTCTGTAATCCTCTTAAAACTAAAAAAAAAAAAAAAAAATCTGTAGAGATCTCTTCCCTGTAAATATGTAAATAATGGGATAACCTAAATGAAAGTGAATCTTGAATTCTGAGAACTATAGCCTGTTAGCCAAGTTCATCTCCAGATGTTGTTTTTATTTACAGGGAGGATTTTCTTTGACCTCGTGTGCATGGGGCTAATTATACACTTGGGTCTGTTTAATTACTGGTGTCACCAAGAAGAAAGCCAAGGCCTTCTTTCTGGAGCTTTCAAATGATACCATGTGTGTCTGGCTATGTTGGATTCAGCTTTAATTCTGGTTTGCCTGCCCATTTTCAGCTCCCATATCACTAAATAATCTGAGTAATGCAGTGAATAATGGTATTTGTCTTGCTTGACTATTTTTCTGTAAATTCTATCCTTGAATGCTATTTAAACATCACAAACCAGGAAATATTGCAAGGTTTAGGCAAGGAATCCAGATATTTTCAAAGTAGAGGAAAATAGGTGGATTATCAAGAGATCCCTAATGGGGAGGCCGTGAATTAGCACAGCATAGCTTCAGATGGGTCAGCCACTTAGCAGGTGTACCAGGGGCTCATGGAATAAGAGGAAAAGCCTGGAAATGAGCTCAGGAAGTGAGAGGGGCCAAGACCTATGAAAGGGCTTTGTACTGTACAGAGGTAAAGATCTGGTAGCAGGAAAGACGCTGGGTTCTGCAGCTCATGATTGATTTTTGCCTTCTAGGGATGTGGTGGAAGTTCTTCTGAGGAACGATGCACTGACCAATGTGGCTGACTCTAAAGGCTGTTACCCTCTGCACTTGGCAGCCTGGAAAGGAGATGCCCAGATAGTGCGGTTGCTCATCCATCAAGGGCCTTCACACACCAGAGTCAATGAACAGGTCGGAAGAAGGAGGCTTTCCTCCTTCCATTCAGCTATGACCAGAATTCGGCCACCCCACCTCAGCTCCAGAGTGCATATCTCAGGGAGCCAGCTCTTCCAAACCCTAAACACGACTTCCCCCTTGCCATTTCTCCATGTCCTGGTGGGTCAGGGAAGTGCTGTACTATGAGGATGCATTTCATATACATTTGGCTCATACAGATTTGGAATATTACAAAGATGAAATAATGGAATCCTTCAAAATTGCATGGAGTCAGTTTCAAACTGATAGGCCTAATTAATTGTAAATTGTGCTTAATGCTTTTGACATGGCAATGTGGCTTTCCCAGTGTTCCCCAGTACTGTGTGACCCATGTTGTCATTGTACCTACATCAGAACATGCAGGAGTGGAAGTACTTGTGTTAGTGCTGAAACATGAACTCACAATGAACAGAAGTCAGAGATGATTCAGCAGAATGAAGAGCATTTCCATGATGTCCTCTGATGTTAAATAAGAGTGAGCATACTTCGGAAAGGCAGAGACTGTTCTTAGAAAATAAGAAAGGCATAACAATGGCCCTGAATTTAAGCATTCCTACAATACACTTCTTTTTATATTTTTTCCTTTGGGAAAATTATACTTGAATTATATAGGTTTGAGACAAGCCTCTCATGAGCCCTGCTCCCGGGGTTTGGTGCAGAGGTATATGCCCGCCCGTCTGAGGGGAGATGGCTGTCCTGTGTTCTGCTCTGCACCATAGCAGGTGCTTTTATTGTTGCTTGAATGAGGGTGATGTTTCTCTCTCTCAATAAGTTTAGGACTGTTTTCCTAATGACTTTGTTGAAAGAAAATTGTTAAATTACCTGTAGGATTAAAACAAGGTTTTTCCTCAAAAAATAGGAAATCACTCTGGCGAGTCCATCTTTTAACAGGACCCATGAAGATTCTCAGTGAACTGTTAAGATCTTGACTTTATTCAGAGAAGGGCAGCTTCTCTCTGAAGCCTGAAAAAATGAGAGTTCCTAAATATGTCAGTTTGGAGATTGTGTGTATGTAGCTGTTAATCAGCTTTTCTCCCCCACCTGGGGATGTATTTTCTGGATAGGTAAGCAGCAGACGCTTAAGATCATCAGTGAGAATGTTTGTCCACAACATTTGGAATGAGAAGCCTCTCTTTAGAATTGCCTCTTTAGAATCTAAGTGTGATTTTACTCCTCCTGACTGCAAGGATGATTTCTATTCACTGGAGGAGATATGTGAAGAAGCTTGCCTATGGGACTGGGGTTGTGGCTCAGTGGTAGAGTACTTGCCTAGCTTGTGTGAGGCACTGGGTTTGATTCTCGGCACCACATATAAATAAATAAAATAAAGATCCATTGACAACTAAAAAATATTTTTAAAAAAATAAAGCTTGCTTATAACTAATATTCTTCGATGTTGAAAAATCTGGCCACCCATTAAAGTCCTTCTCATCTAAGCAATTGGCATCACCCATTTCTAATCCTGTCTTTGCCCACTTTCGCCTTGGAGCACAGCTGCTTGAAGTTTGAGCCACTTCAGTCTGCTAGCTTGTCCTGCTCACGACCACCTCCTGCCTAGAGTACTCCTTGGTGGGTGGGACACCAGCCTAGTGCTCTGAGTATCTGGCAGGCAGGTGGGTGGGGCAGGGACTGGGCAAGATGTCTTCAAGTAGCTTGAAGAACCTAATGGATCTAGTTAGTTACAAGAACTACATTGATTTATTTAAAAACCATTAATGTGGTTCCATTTGGATGCTTGGATAAAAGGGGGGTAATGAGTGAGGTGCCCTAGAGATTGTCTTCCCCCTTAACTTCCTTGTGACACATCCAGAGGGCAGACCCGAGTTCCAGTGTTGGGCCCCTGTGGGACTCTGTATTGCTTTGATATATTTCATCCATTTTATCATTACACTTTCTTTTTCCTCTCCTTTTTGTAGAATGCTCTTGAGATCAAAGAACTCAAAAAGTACGGCCCCTTTGACCCTTATATCAATGCCAAGGTGTGTACTTTGCTGCCAGGATTTCTCTGCATCATTTCTCCACTCGGTACCCCCTCCATGGCGCTCTCTGGCTTCCACTCTTGTACACTCAGGCTCCTCCTTGTCCCCCTGACTGTCATCTGCTTCAGCCCATCTGCTTTTGGCTTGTCTGAGAATAGGAAAATGCGGCTGCAGTAGGTTTTGATTTTATTGTTAAAACTAATGCTAATTCTGGAAAGGTGGAGAACATCTGAAATGGTAGGAATAAAGAGATAGAAGGGATCACATTATATACTTAATTTACTATTGTGATTTCTAAATCATTTAAATTCAAAAAAGAAAATGTAGTCAAATTAACTTACTTTCGAATAAAGACGGATAAACAATTAAATTGTATTTCTTGGAATTAAGATTCTTATTTTGGTCTGCTTTCTATGTATTTTTTGAAGTGGAATCTGATTTTCCTTCAGATTTCAGTAGCTGGGGTGGAAGTGTAGGGGAAAGAACAGGTGACTCCAACTTATTCTTTTAAAAGCTGTTGCTTGCCACTTTCTTCTCATTTCCTGGAGTTTGTGTTTCTCTTAGATGTTCAGGCCAATCTCTCTAGCCATTAACTTCACTTTCTGCTTGTCACTCTTGACCCATGAAGGGCTCTGAAACAGGAAACTGTGTTGCAGGACCAAGCAGGGGGCTTGCCTGGTGGTGGGCACAGGTAGTGGCCTAATAGGCCTGGTTTTGATTGGCCCAGCCTCAGCACCCAGGGCCTTACCCTGCTGCCTTTCCACCCGAGGTTTGATTGAAATTGTTTACTTTTTGACAACAATCTGGAGTTTGGTTGAGGTGCTACATTATCTGCCTTAGCTACTTTTTACTTGCTCTGAATACAACTGCCCTGGGGAAGAGACACAAGGTACTTCTGATGTTTACAGACTCAAGGCAGAGATTTCCATGCTTTTCTTTGAGAAAGTCCAAATAGCACCTCCCCACAAAATGACCTGGGAGGGCCTTGGAGGAGATTTTCATTAGCTGTTGGGCCTTAATGGTGGAAAAGCCTTTTGATTTGAGGTGGTAGAACACATCGGCCCTGTTTTGGACCATTCTTTAAAATCTTTTTTTTTTCTTAAATTTGGTCTTTTTAGTAAATTCTTGTTATCAAATAGGCAGATTCTATACTTCAGCTGTTTTGTGGATGGTGCACAGCAACAGAGAACTCAAAGGTCCCAGGCTTTCCTGTCAAACCTGAATAGGTTCTAGGTGGCTACTTTTTGGTTTTGTTAACTTGAACAAATTGCTTAATTTGTGCCTCAGTTTCCTTTTCTGTAAAATGGGTCATTACCACCTATTTACCTTGCTGGGTTGTTTCAGAATTTTAATAAGTAATAGTAAAACACATTAAAGTAAAAATATCAGCAACTAATAATATTTAAAATCCTCATTTTTCAAAATCTGTGTGATTATAGTAGTATTTCTGAAAGGGCATTTTGGAATCTTTGTGGCTAGTAGATGATGTTTAGTGAAACGTTGCTCCATTGCTCCATTAGTCAGGATTCTGTTTTGTGGGAAGGGACCTTGAGGTTGTTATTTCCTGCAGTGGTTTATTTAGCGTATGAAGCTTTGATTAAACGCTATAACTTTGGTTCTCAAAGGTATGTTTTCCTATCCTTTGGTTTTGCACATCTCAAGGAAAACTAGTGTAAATGTAATAAAAACATACTTTTCCTTTTGAAATCCTTCCATCTACTCTGACAGGACAAATGATGCACCTGGCGGTGAGGGGAGGGAGGTGCTGGGTTGTTGGAGGATGGAGGTCCTGTGGAGCCTTGCCAGCCTCACTAGGTTTTGTCCTCAGTGGCTTTTATTGACTTGGTTTGTGTCGAGGAATTGATTTGCTAAGTTATATTTGAATGCTAAATCCTATCTAGCACTGGTAAAAAATTAGAAGTCTTAGGTGCCTTTTTGGGAACAGATGTGGTTTTCAAGAGCTTTGATGTTCCTTTTTAACATTTGGGGCCTCTCCTTTTTCAGTAAGTCAGTATAAACCAGTGCTTATGTGAATCATGCACAGCTAAGGTGGAACTATGAAAATTGTTCATTTCCACTGAGCAAGGTGGCACTCACCTGTCATCCCAGTGACTCCCGAGGCTGAGGCAGGAGGATTAGAAATTCAATGCCAGTCTCAGCATCTCAAAAAAGTTACTGGTGTAGGGGCTGGGGTTGTGTTTCAGTGGTAGCATGCTTGCCTAGCATGTGTGAGGCACTTGGTTCGATTCTCAGCACCACATACAAATAAATAAAATAAAAGTCTGTTAACAACTAAAAAAAAAAAAAAAGTTACTGGTGTAACTCAATGGTACAGCACCCCTGGGTTCAATCCCCACTGCAACACAACAAAAGTGTTCACTAACCCCACTGTTGAAACAATTTTAACTCAGTCTGGCCATCATAAAGTGAGCAACATGCCTATTTTTCTATTCACTTAAAGATAATTCATAGTGTCAGAGCTGGAAGGGACTTGGAGTTTTATTTAGACTGATTGTCTCCAAACTCTCCTGAGCTTGTCTGAGTGCATCAGAATCACCTGCGAAGCTTTTAAACAACTTTTTTTGAAAAAAAAAATTTCAACTTAAAAGAGGTTCTAATAATAATAATGCAGTGAACTGCATATATTCTTGTTACTCAGATTGTTAACATTTTGTCCCATTTGCTTTTCCTGTACACACACACACAGGTCTTGCTAAGTTGCTGAGGCTATGCTTGAACTTGTGATCCTCCTGGCTCAGCCTCCTGAGTCAAGATGAACTAGTCAAGATGAAGTCATCAGCATTATGACTCTTTGATCCTAAATTATTTGATTAGTTCTTCAACCTTAGTCTCTAAAAAGCAAGGACATTCATTTATAAAACCATGATATAATTATCATATTCAGAAAATTCAAAATTGATAAAATATTATTATCTACAATCCACATTCACATTTTGCCAGTTGTCTCAGTAATGTAATGTCCTCCCCTTAATCCCCAGGGGTGCTTTACCACTAAGCTGCATCCCCAGTCCTTTCTATTTTTCATTTTGAGATGGGGTCTTGCTAAGTTGCTGAGGCTAGGTTTGAACTTGTGATCCTCCTGGCTCAGCCTCCTGAGTCTCTGGGATTATAGGTTTGTGTTACTGTGCCTGGCATCCGATAATATGCTTTAGAGGATTTTCTTTTTCTGGATCAGGATCCAATCCATGATCATACGTGATATGGAACAGTTCCTCAGCCTTTCTTTTCTTTCGTAACATTGACATTTTGTAAGAGCATAGGCCAGTTGTTTTGTAAACTGTTCTTCAGTTTAGGTTTGTTCGATATTTCCTCATGATTGCATGCCATACATTTTTGGCAGAAATGCCACAAAAGTGACATTATATCCTTTTTTGTTCATCCTGTCACAAGGCACATGATCTCTGTTTTCTTATTCTTTTATTTTATTTTTTTTAATATTTAAATTTTTTTGTAGTTGTAGATGGACAGCATGCCTTTATTTTATTTGTTCATTTATAGGTGGTGCTAAGGATCGAATCCAGTGCCTCACACATGCTAGGCAAGCGCTCTGCCACTGAGCCCCAACCCCAGCCCTTGTCTCATTCTTGATGATGAAGACTGAGTGCTTAGGCTGATGCCTGCCAGATTGGGAAGTTTTTTTAACATTGGTTTCCTGGGCCTTCCTCTCTGAGGTGCTTTCTTGGCAAGTCTGGTATTGGACCAGCTATTAGTTGTTTTTAAGCCCCTGGTAATCCAAAAGGAAGCTGGTTTGAGAACTTCTGATCTAGGCCAACTTTCCACCCTGAGCAAGGATCATCTTCCTTCTGTCCTCTGAAAGGTCAGCCATCTGTTCTTTATTTTATTTACTCATGTGTTTGTTTTTCTTAGTGATAAACACAAGTCATTACTGCCCAACAGCCTCCTTGGATTCCACTGATTTTTTTGTTTCTTGTTTGGCATCTGTTTTCCTAAACCTTCCATCTTTTGGTTAGAGTTCTGCTTTCCAGAGTTTACAGAGTGATTAAGAAAAAGAGAATTAAGTATTAAGACTAAGTCCAACTTTTCTTTTTCTTTGAATTATGGACTCAGTTATCCTGTTTTCTCTGTCTTCTCAATCTCAGTAGACCCAGTGTTTTTTCCAATTACGATATTTCTAGAGCCTATATTGTCCTTGCCACAGAGAACTGTAGCCCAGGTGTCCTTAACATAGGTTTCTGTCAACAGTGGGCTGTAATCACTGGGAGGTGATAGTCCTCACATAGTTCCAAGAGAGAAAGGCTATGGGAGTTCTTCTGTATGGCTTTCTGCTGCTTGTTGTTTTTGAATATATATAATAGATTATGATTGGTGTCTTAAGATGGAAGGAGTATGCACAGAGACCCCTTTTCTCTTAGGGTCACTGACCATTGCAAGGAGAAATGAAAGCGAGTCTTAAGGTGGGAAGGAATGGAGAGTTTGTGCAAAAGGCTTCAGAGAACATTGGGGTATTTCACCCCACTCCCCTCCCCGAGTCCACACTCATAGCAGTTGGGAACTCTCAAGGTATTGTGAGACTCCATAATGTTATTTGGAAGGTGTGAAAGGGAAGGAGTCCAGATGATTAGCAGTCTTTTCCTCTCCTTGGAATCCCTCCCTTTCTTATGGGTCCATGAGTCAGCACTTTGTGATTTCTTAACCAAGAGTGGTCAAGCTCAAAGTGGAAACCGAAGTAATAGCCTGTTGTGATGGCGTGTGTTCAGTGGTAGAGATGTGGTCACTGCAGATGTGAACCCGAGAGAATTATAATTACCAGGCCAGATCTGGCAAGGCTGAGACATACTGAGGTGCCTCCTACGCTGTGAATATGAGCATAACTTTCCGCAGAGATGTGGTTAGACCTTTTAACATGAGGCAGGAAATTTGCCAGTAGTGATCAAGATTTTTCTAAAGACCTTTTTTTCCCCCAAGTCCCCCCAACTTTTTTATTTTGAGACAGGGTCTCCCCAAATTGCCCAGGCTGCCTCCTGCCTCAAGACTCCCTAGTAGCTGGGATCATAGGTGTGCACCACCGCACCAGGCATCCATCAAGATTTTGCCTGTAGCCAACTAGCTTTGTGATAGTTGCCATTATTTTAGCAAAAAAGAAAAAAAAATAAATACAATAGACTTTTCATTCTTTTTTCTTCCTTTGTTTCTGGAAGGGGCGGGGGTGGAGATTGAACCCAAGCCCTCATGCATGCTGAGCATGGGCTCTACAAGCTTTGCTCCCAGCCTTGATATTTTGTTGTTGTTGTATAATCTGGATTTTATATTTCTTCAGACCCTAATGTCATCCATTTTACAAAATCAAGGACAAATTATTCTAGATGTTGGGAGATAACTTGAAAATAAAAGAGACACTACCATTTGCTTCAGAGTAAACAGAAGCTTTTCTAAATTGGAGTTTTAATGAGAGTAAGCTGACTTCTTGGTCCTCGCTGTTGTGCTAATCTTGAGATTTAAACCCAGAGAATCCTCTTAAACTTCTTTGGGTTGCCAGCTGTGCTCCAGCATCACTTGACAGAAAGCTCCTGTGAATTGATGATGTAGCTGTGTTTTCATCAGGAGAAAGCAAAGCAACAGCCCTGGGTCTGCTCGGGGAACTAACTCATGCCATAGCCTCATAGGAAGTTGGCTTTACAAACAGGTGTTCCCATTGATTTGTTTGGCACAGCATTTGCTTTCTGCCCACTATCTCCCCTTCCTGCGGACACCTAGGTTGGTGTGGAATTTGCTTGTGGGGCCCTTTGTGTCATAGGAGACATTGCTGATGGGCTGTGTGTGCTCTGCGGCCAGGGAAGCTCTACTTTCTCCGCATCTGCTCTCCCTGAGCTGATTGAGATCAGTGCTGTTCCCTCCGCATTCTCTATTTATTTGTGTGCATTTACCTTTGCATGTGTCCCTGCTAAGACCTTTTCTGTCCTTATTTCATTTTTATAATTTTCTTTGCTGCCATTCTGACCTTCTGGGGCCTTGCTCCCAGCAGCTCTGGATCTTTCTGGTATACTTTGTGTAGATGTGAAAAATGATGCAGTTTAATGCCAGATCAAAAGCAGATGGAATTGCATGCATGTTTGGGTAACTTCTAATCTGTCACTTTTAATTTCATCATTAGAATTAAAGCAGTTGTAGATATATTTAATTGTTACTGTTTGAACCACTGAAAGGTGCACAATATTAACTTGTTGACCAAGCCTCCTCTTAATATTTGTTTTCCAAAAGTGGCCTCCTGGATAAATTTGGGAATCTGAAAATACTGTGGGAGAATTATTTTCATTAATGCTTCTCAAAAAAGAGAAATCAAGGAAATTATTTCCACTGTAATTGCACATAATTAATATTGTTAAAAAAATAATGTAGTTGATGGGCTGGGGGAGGTAGCTCAGTGGTAAAGTGTTTTCCTAGCATTCACAATACCCTGGGTTCTTCTCTAGCACTGCAAACAAACGAACAAAAAAAAAATCCCCAAACCTGATAATTGGAATGACTAACATTTTGCTTCTGATGGTTGCGAAAGCACAAACTTCTCCCATTTTAATCCCAGACTTTATGTTTAGTTTGAAACAAACTTATATTAGAGGACCATGGGCTGTGAATTTGAATTGACAGCACCATTGCATTTGAATATTTTGCACCTCTCATGCCAAGCATTCCAGCATCTGATTGTATTTTTCTTACATAAGAAATTCTTCCCTGTGCTGGCGGCTGTTTTAATGAAGTAGATACTGCATGCATTGATGGGTGCAGGTTCCGGGAATAGAAGCGGTACGGTGTCAGGGTCCAGAGTTCCTCTGCAACCAAGCCAAGGCGTCCCTCTCCTGGATATGGCTGTCGGCTGATAACCTTGAGAGTGATGTTTGTGCTCTGCTCTATTATTTTCATTTTTGGCTGATTGATTTGCATGCAAGAAGTTACACAGATGACAATTTCTTTTTGTAAAGCTTGTGTGAAAGACTGTGGATGGTTGACAAATACAGAATCAGAACCACGGGTTGAACAAGTAGAAATTCTTGTAAAACCAGTTGAAGTTAAAATGAAACAATGGCAGTGATATGATTAGCATGCGTCCGTGCCAGGACTTCTACCAAATGCCTGCCACGTTCCCTCATTCACTCTCCTGCCTGCCTGGAGACACGCCCTTCATAGTACACAAGAGTCTGCAAATGTTTGGGGGATATCTGTTCCCCTCTTGCAGGAACTGGGGGAAGATGTGGCTGATGGGAGCAGCCAGGCTTGTTTATGGTGGAGAATGCCTTATTAGTTGCCAAATATTGCTGCTATTTTTCTCATTTAAATTTCAGTGGTTTTATGTGTGTTTCCCCCAGCCAGATGCCAACCTGCCCCCTTTCTGACACGATGTGCTTGTTAACCCTCAGAACAATGACAACGAGACGGCCCTGCACTGTGCAGCACAGTATGGCCACACAGAGGTGGTGAAGGTGCTCTTGGAGGAGCTCACAGACCCCACCATGCGAAACAACAAATTCGAGACCCCTTTGGACCTGGCAGCGCTCTACGGGCGGCTGGAGGTGGTGAAGATGCTCCTCAATGCGCACCCCAACCTCTTGAGTTGCAACACTAAGAAGCACACCCCGCTGCACCTTGCAGCAAGGAATGGCCACAGGGCTGTGGTCCAGGTCCTCCTGGATGCTGGCATGGACAGCAACTACCAGGTAGCAGGGCGGTGCACCACCCAGGCACCAGGGACTTAGACAGAAAAGGCATAAGTACCATGCTGCTGTGGGGGGGGGGTCTCGTTTAGCTGTTTTCCATCACGTTTCGGATGCTTCCATTTGTTGACTCGTTTCAGTGTGAAACTTTAGAGACAAATGAGCTCTTGGAGTAAGATGGTTATTTTTTTATTTCTTTTCAGGGGATGACATATTGAACCCTGAAAAGACATGTTAATGGGCGTGCCCTCAAAACTGAAAAGTCTCATTATCTTCCTACACGTGTATTCCCACTGCCCCCTTGTCCTTCAGAGTCTCCTCAGTGGAGGCTCCAGGGGACCGGGCGCCGCCCTCCCTGTCAGCCTTCCCCGCTGGGACGAATGGTTCCTTAGGCTCAGCATTGACTGATCCATGTTTGAAGTGAAAGCATTTTACTTCCCTCTCACTTCTCTTCTCATGATTCCTTCCGCTGGGAAGAACGAGTTGGGTTGTTTGATGGTGGCTCCAGGAGTGATGATTCCTCACACGTGGCCTCTGGTGGGCCCGGTGGCCTTGATGTATGGATCCAGCTGGTGGTTTTGGAATCCATACCAAAAAAGTTGGAAAGATAATGACAGAGGGCTGTGTGTAGTTTATTTTCCTGTCCCTTCTTATCTATGTCCCATTTGTCATGTGAAGCCACCCCAAACTGCCCTGATGACATCCTGCTCTGCGCTCTCATTTGCTTTCCAGACGGAGATGGGCAGTGCTTTGCATGAGGCTGCTTTGTTTGGCAAGACCGATGTGGTACAAATCCTGCTGGCTGCAGGTGAGAGGTCGGCAGCGCTCTTGTCTACACAGCATGCCAGGGATGGGATTGTTTGTCCCTAGGCTCCTCAGAGGGCGGTTTTGCTGGCTGCATTTGAATCCAGTGTGTTTGTGTCTCTGCGGATTGGGTAGAAGTGTGTGGACCAGTCCTTAGTTACTAAATAGCTTCAGATGAAAAATATTGGGTGTGCTGCTTGGGAGCTGGAGGTGTCCTGGAATTTGACCTTCTCTGAGGCTGGCTTAAAATAAATGCTCACTTGCCTGGTCCACCTGCTCTGCCTTTCTAGGAATTGATGTCAACATAAAAGATAACCATGGACTGACTGCCCTAGACACTGTGCGGGAACTGCCTTCTCAGAAGAGCCAGCAGATAGCAGCACTTATTGAAGGTATTGTCCATGTCACTGTTGGGGTGACTGGGGAAATACTAACCAGACTGAGGCACTTGTATTTGGTGCAGTTTCTTCTTCCTTTAAAAAAATCTTTCCATGTAGATCACATGACTGGAAAGAGAAGTACAAAAGACATAGAGAAAATCTCCACGCCCCAGCCAGCTCTCCTCTCCATCGCGGACTCCGTAGCACCAAAGTCTCAGGGTGAGGAGACTCTTCTCTGACAGGAAAGGGACTCTCAGCCTCAAAAGAGTTGAATGTTCTTGGGCAGAATGGAAAAATCTCAATTCAAAAAATAATTTCAGGGGGTTGTGAGTACTTAATAAGTTTATGTTCAGTTCGTTTTTTTCCAACTAAAAGGTTTGTTGGACTTCAGTGTAAGTCTTTGGCCGTGGGCTTCTTTCCTACTGTGTTTTTTCCTCTGCTTTTGCAGTCAGCTCTGGGATGTGTAGTTGGCAGGATCATCCCAAGATGAACTCAGATCTCAGTGAAACCTTTTTCTAACATACTTTTGTGCTTTGTGCATAGTTGACCCATAGTGTTTTTTTCATAAGTGTATTCTGGTTGGTAGATGTGTACATGGCAGATTTTGGTAATATGTCATTTGGTCATTAGATGTGGTCTGCAGTCCGGCCTGTTCTTCATTAGCCAGGATCTCTTTTCAGATTATTGAGTAGCTTTTGGGGGCCTTTGTGTGATGAATGACAAAGACAAAATAAAGATTGAGGCTGAGTGGTGGCCCAGTGGTAGAACGCTTGCCCAACATGTGTGAGGCCCTGGGTTCGATCCTTAGTAGCACATAAAAATAAATAAATAAAATCAAGGAATGTCCATCTACAACTAAAAAACAAAATTTATTTTAAAAACAACAACAACAAAAGTGACCGACTCCTTTCCCCCAATACATATGGTAATAATGAAGGCTAGAGAAATGGAACAGAACTCAAAATGAAAAAGGGAGAGGGTCCTTTCAGAGAGAGCAGAGTGGATCCTTTTCCTGCTCTGGGCAGAGGGTTAGCAGTGTCCCTCCAGCGGTCTCAGTTGAGCAGTCTTCATCTCCTTGCACTCGTTTTCCTTGACCTCCTAATCTGCTAGTAATGAGATCAGTCACTCAGTAAGCTCTTAGCTTTCAAGGGTTTACATTTATAGTTTTGACTATTTACAGTCCACCCAGAGACAGTTTCCACAGTCAATAGTTTTGCAGCCACAGATCCTGCCAGTGTCCTGGGTGTTGTGGTTGGTGTTTGTCTAGCCAGGGGTCTCCCGGCTGCACGCCACCTCCCTTTCAGAAAGGCTCTGCTGTCCTCTGGTTTGCTTGAGCATGTGGAGGCTCTTCCTAAAGAATTTAAAGGATTTGCTTCAGTTTTCAGTTATACTTTGCTCTCTTTTTTTTGTTAAGTTTATGCCCTCGTAGTATTGAGACATTTGGGGATTTCATAAAGGTTTTAGAAAGGTTGCCTTATGGATGTCGAGGGGCTTTCCTTTTCTCTGTCTTTATCTTTTCCTTTTTGGTGGCCAGGGGATGGATTCCAGGGCTGTGTGTACGCTAGGCAAGCACTTTCTACTGCTTAGCTGCACCCCCAGCCCTTTCATATTGAATTAGAGAAAAATCTGTTCAGATCACAGGATATAAAGAGCAGCTGAAATTCTGTATTTATTCCTGTCCCTGGAGCAAAGTGATCATTTTCCTTCTTGGGGCTAGTGTTTGTCAAGTTCAGATAGCTACAGAGGCTTTGGTCACCATAGCAGTTGGAGCCCTTGATTGTGCCCCCTCTTATTGACTCTTTTGTCCCCACCCTCCTCTCCAGGTGATGTGGAAAAAGCAGTAACTGAACTGATCATCGATTTTGACCCAAATACTGAAGAGGAGGGTCCCTACGAGGCGCTGTACAACGCTGTTTCCTGCCATTCACTAGACAGCATGGCCAGCGGGAGATCATCTGACCGGGACTCAGTGAACAAGGAGACCGAGGCAGCAGGAGCAAGAACCGCTGGAGTGAGGCCTGTACGTGGCCCCAGGCCTGAGCCTTCTGGGGGCTGTGCATGCTGCTGAGGGGCCCTAGGAAGAGGCAGGGTGAGGCCTCGTGCCCACTTGCATTTCAGAGACCTGGATCCCACTTGCTCTACTCCTCTTCTCAGGCTCTGCCACGTCTCTCTTGCTCAGTGTGGTGAAACTGTATGGATCACAGTGACGTCGAATTTGGGTTTTCCAATTTCATTATAACCAGTTTGAGTCTTTCCATTATTTCACTGACCTCTAGAGCAAACTAAAGCCGCTCATTCCTGTGTAGCCTGGGATGCTTGCTGTATGTTGTTTGTTCTCTGGAGAGCAGAGTTATACAATGAAATGAGACCCTGTCTGCTCTGAGTACATGCCCACTTCCATTTGCCTCCAGGGAATTATCCATTTGATTTGGACAGAGTCTGTATTTAGCAGGGTTATAGCACGGTTTGATCAGGCATAGCATTTATTAGTTTGTGGTATTTCTATTTTATCCAGTTACTACATCTCTAGCCACTGAAGTGTGAGGATGAGAACAGCTCTCTGCCTGTGCCATTCTCCAGCTCTGCCTTCCAGGCTCAGTGCTTCTTTCTCTAGTACTTGCTTTTACTGCTAGTCTTGTACATGGTTCTCAAGACTCCTAACTCCCTCTCTTCCCTCAGGGTTATGCTGGACCTGAGTCACTGTCCCACTGACTCTACTTCTTGCATTGCCAGGCATAATAATTTAGGTTTTTGAGCACTGCCCACTGGCGAAGCTGGCCTTGCTTTAATAGGATGCCATTGCTGACCCACCTTCAGAAGTGTTTTCAGACAGGTGTTATTTCTTCTTGTGTAGAGGCTGGCCTTTCCCTTTTGGTTTGAATCTGGCACATAACCATTTTGATTCTCCTTTGGCTGTCCTTGGTCTCTCCAGGTGTGTTCTGGGAATGACCTGTTTCTTAGAGTGTTCTTTTGTTGAACTCCTTACCATGTTCTGCTTTTCCCTGAAACAATCCCAGTATTTCAGTGTGGATCTTGGAGAGCCGGCTAGACTATGTAGCCCATCGAGTAGGTGTTATCAAGGACTGTGATGAAACTTGTGAATAGTGAAAGCAAATACATCCTCTGAGTACCACTACTGAGTGCTTCTTGGACAGCTAGTTGTTTTGTTTGTTTATTTTTGTTTTTTCATTTCTTTCACTGTTTGGCACAAATAAATGAATATAGCAAATCCAACTATGGAAGACGACCTTGCTTTAAATGGTGCTTACAGATGATGCCCATTAGGGGGAGCTGGAGCCTTTGCAAGAAGCAGCCAGTTCTGTGATTGATTTACTCCAGCCCCTTTGTTCCATCCTGCTGTAGGAGCCCAGCCTCCCCTGGTCTTGCTAAATAGAAACTGTTGCTTCTTGGGGTGCCCGCTTTGCCATTTTTGCTTGTATATGAAGGGTGTTGCTCTTCCATATTTCTGATCCTTGCTAATTAATTGTGGCCAAGGAGTACATCTTGGTAAACATAATGGATAATATATGTAAATCAGTTCTGTACTTCCAGGCTTCTGGTCCAACGTTTTCACCTTAGAAAAAGGTAAAAAGGCTTATGGGCACTTCTGTTTCCCTCTAGTGTCCCTGATAATCACATCTTCTTCAGAGGGCTTTTGTATTACTCTTTTCAGGCTTTTTTAGCCTTGGATCCTTTAGGTTGGATCCTTTCTGCTAATATGTTTCCTCTGGTTTTCCTTAGCAGCTTTTCCCAAGTTTGGTTTACTGGTGTGTGGTGGTGGTGGTGGTGGGGGGTAAGTGTGTGGATATGGGACTGCATCCTTCAGCTGTTCCCTTTCTTACGTGCTAGCACTGGGACCAGGCCTGTTCCTGCGCTTTCAGAGTAAAGAAGGGTGGAGAAAATGGGACTTCATGGGAAATTTGATCTAAATAGCTTTGTTGGACATTAAAACACAAAACTGTCCTGAAGATGTTGCCATTGGATATCTTCTGGTTCCAGGGACTGTGGGGATACCTGATTCATTGAGGTATAATACTGAGCAGAGAAGCATGGGTTAACAGAGAGATCCTGGATGGCAAAGTGGTAACACTGGGAGCTCCTGAAATGTGAGAAGTGACTTTCTTGGCAACTTCTCTGGGGATCTCACTTCATTCAAATTGACCTCTGCCCTGGTTTTCTTGAAGTACTGTTTTAGCCAACTAATATGCAAGCCAGGGAATGTGCGCCCTGTTTCAGGATCCCGTTCCCTTCAGTAAAGAACACTGACTGTCAAGCCCAGCGAGAGCTTGGGAATATAAACAATGCTGAAGTTACAATGAGAGCAGTCACAGATCTCTCTTCAGCTTTTAGCTTTGGGTTTCCTTCACCAGGATCATCTGTGTAGTCTTAAAATTGTCTACCCATGATCTGTCTGACTGACCAGTGTCCTCTCTTCAGTGAGTTTCTTGCTGTAGGTTAGGAGTTGGAAAACTGCAGCTCACCAGCTGCCTATTTTTGTAAACACAGTTTTGTTGGAACACAGCTACACTCGATCATTTACATATTGTCTTTCCTTATGTACTACATGTCTGTTATATGACCCTGTAAGGAAAAGCTTGCCTCAGGGCATGGTGGCACATGCCTGTAATCTCAGTGGCTCGGGAGGCTGCCGCAGGATTGTGAGTTCAAAGCCAGCCTCAGCTATTTGGTGAGGCCCTAGGCAACTCATTGAGATCCTGTCTAAAAATAAATTATGAAAAAGGGCTGGGGATGTGGCTTAGAGTGCCTCTGGGTTCAATCCCTGGTGGGAGAGAGGGAGGGAGGAAGGAAGGGAAGGAAGGAAGGAAGGGAAGGAAAGGAAAGGAAAGGAAAGGAAAGGAAAGGAAGGAAGGAAGGAAGGAAGGAAGGAGAAGGAAGGAAGGAAGGGGCAAGCTTGCTTTAGGGCTGACAACTGACAAGTAGTCCTTTTTAAAATGAGCTTAGGTCACATAGTCTTTATGCAATGATGATATGGACTATTCATTAATGAAGGAGGTGACTAAAGATCAGTGATTTTGTTTGTTTTGTTTCAAGATGGGATCTCACTGTGTCACCCAGGCTGGTATCAAGCTCCTGGGCTCAAGTGATCCTCTTGCCGCAGTCTCACAGGAAGTTGGGGCTCCAGGCATGTGTCTCTGTACCCGGCTCAAAGATTGGTTTAGAACTTTTTTTAGTGAGTGGCGATAGACCAATATTATCACATTGAAGTTTGAATAGGAGTTGATGTTTTATCCTCGATTACTTTTCTCAGTACTTCCTCATAACCTTGGTTTTAGGACCATTTCACCAGTAGATTCTTTTTTTTTTTTCTTTTTGGTTACAGGGGATTGAACTCAGAGGCGTTCGACCACTGAGCCACATCCCCAACCCTATTTTGTATTTTACTTAGAGACAGGGTCTCACTGAGTTGCTTAGTGCCTTGCTTTTGCTGAAGCTGGCTTTGAACTCTCAACCCTCCTGCCTTAGTCTTCCAAGCTGCTGGAATTACAGGCTTGTGCTACCGTTACAAGTTGATTCTTTTTTTTTTTTTTTTAAATATTTATTTAGTTGTAGATGAACATTCAGTATCTTTATTTATTTTTATGTGGTGCTGAGGATCGAACCCAGTGCCTCACACATGCGAGGCAAGCACTTTACCACTGAGCTACAGCCCAGCCCCCGATTCTTTTTTTAAATTTTTTTTTAATGTTTATTTTTTAGGTGTAGATGGATACAACACAATACCTTTATTTTTATGTGGTGCTGAAGATCGAACCCAGGCCCCGCCCATGCTAGGCCAGCACTCTACTGCTGAGCCACAACCCCAGCCCCTACAAGTTGATTCTTTTGATCTAGAGTTTCCTCTTTTTAGAGTAGACTGAAAACTGAGCCACAGATTTCCCTTTACTGAAGTTTTATGTAGGGCATTTCCCATCAAGCTAGTTAGGAGTTTCCAGTGCTGGTACTTGTCACTGTGGTCTAGGGTACAAAAAAGGTGTTTATGATCTTTGCTACAAACATGAAAAACCACAGAGCTTACTAATTGAATTGTGTATGTGTGTGCAGGGTTCTCCATCTGTTCAGAAACCAAACCTCAACTTTAGTCTCTTGGGGGAGTGCTTGACATTATTCTTTTTCAATTCCAACGGCTAAAATAAAGGTAAATCAGAAAGTTGGATACTTAAAGAAAGCAATAGAGGAATTATTTATTTTCTCTTCTGTAGAGAGAACGTCCACCGCCTCCAGCAAAGCCACCACCAGATGAAGAGGAGGAAGACCGCATAGATAAGAAGTATTTTCCCTTGACAGCTTCTGAGGTAGAGGGTTGAGGGTTTACTCCCATCACTGAAACATGGGTTCGTGGCAGAGTGAATCAGAGTGTGCTTAAAGACGGCTGTGCTCTCTTATCCCCCACTCCCACCCCTCTTTGTGGTTCTGGGGTGAACCCAGGGCCTCATGCATGCTAGGTCAGGGCTCTAACACTGAGCTACGTACACCCCAGCCCACTTTCTCATTATCTTATTACTTCTTTGGTTGGTAGGTTTGTATTATGTGTATCATTAATCTAGAACATGACCTTTTAAACTCACCTAAAAGTACTGAAAGAATTTTAATGTAGCTCTCTAGCAGACAGGCCAAGTGTTGATAAACCGTACCACGTAGAAAGTAAAACGTACACATTTTTTTCATGACTCCTGTAAGCTGGACAGTTCCCTTCTGCTTGTATACTTGTGTTGTCTTTTTTTTCTGTCTTCTTTCTTCTTTTTATTTTTCTTATTTGGGAGGATTGAACCCAGGAGTGTTCTACTTCTGAACAGCATCCTCAATCTCCCCCTTTCATTTTGCGGGATGGGGTGGGGTGGGGGTGGTACCAGAGATTGAACATCACTTAACCACTGAACCACATCCCCAGGTGCCCCCACACACCATTTTTTTTTTTTTTTAATAGAATCTCACTAAGTTGCATAGAGCCATGCTAAGTTACTGAAGCTGATCTTGGAACTTGGAATCCTCCAACCTCAGCCTCCCAAGTCGATGGGATTATAGACATGCCCCCACCACACGCAACGTCCCCAGCCTTTTCTTAAAATTTTATTTATTTTTTTATTCTTAATATATTTTGTTGTTGTTATAAATGGACACAATACCTTTATTTTATTTGTTTATTTTTATGTGATGCTGAAGATTGAACCCAGTGCCTCACACGTGCTAGGCAAGTGCTCCACCACTGAGCCACAACCCCAGCCCTTAAAATTTTATTTTGAGAAAGGTCTTGCTAAGTTGCCCAGGCTGGTCTCCAACTTGTGATTCTCCTGCCTCAGTGTCCCTAAGAGCTGGGATTAAAGGAATGAACCACATGTCTTTTGATACAAAATGTTGAGTGTCCCCTAATCACTACTGTCTACACTGTGCCATGTTTGCAAACTTTGGTGGCTCTGCCTCATTTTATTTCTATTTTTGCATTTTCCTGTTCTCAGCATACAAAGACTCTACATAATACAAACATGAATTGAGTCATGAACTATAGATTAGGAAAGAGGAGGTGTGTGGAATGGGCAGACAGGAAAATCAAAGGAGGTCATTTGAAAAGAAGTCAACCTTTTTACAAAAGAAATATTACCATGTGGCAACTAAGAGTTTTTTCCCTTGTATGTGAGAAGAAAATTGTGCTTTCTTTGATCTTTCTTCTTTAAGTTGCTCCTTTAACACTTCCTATCACTCATAGAATACAAGTGTGGAGTATTTATTCAAAATGTAATATAATTTTTAAAAATTACTTTATAGCTTATTCAGAATTCTATTATTCTTTTTAAAAATCAACTAATGTAAATCAGCTAAGTCTCATCATTTTATTCCTAGAAGTTGGAATTACCATTTTCTCACCATTGCCATGTACCATCAGTAAGATAGGTTATTTTATTCAAAATAAACACATGGAACCAAAAGCATGACTTTAGTTTCAGAAAATGTATAAATTCAGCAGCCGGGTGTGGTGATATATTCCTGTAATCTCAGTGATTCGCTAGGCTGGCACAGGAGGGTCACAGGTTTAAGACTAGCTTGGGCAACTTAGCCAGTCCCTATCTCAAAAACTAAAAGGCTGGAGGTGTAGCTCAGTGGTAAGGTGCTTCTGGGTTTATTCCCCAGTGACAGACAGACAGACAGACAGACACACACACACACACACACACACACACACACACTATATTAAGAAAGCCCTTTTAAAAATGTAAAAATCTGTGTTAGAGATATAGAAGGATTTCTACAATAGCTACAGATTTTTTCATTTCTTTTTAATTATTTTTTTAGCTGTAAATGGACACAATATCTTTATTCTATTTATTTATTTTTATGCGGTAATGAGGTTCAAACCCAGGACCTCACACATGCTAGGTGAGCGCTCTACCATTGAGCCATGACACCAGCCCCTCCTTATTTCTTTTGGTCCCTCATTTATAAAATGCTTATTGTCATGTTCCAACCAGTTGTCCCTAGAATTGCACCCTCTTATTATCTCTGAGTAATGATACTTTGCTAGTTGGTACAAGTACATACAGTAAGTCCCTACACATTTTTCTGCAAATAGCATCTTGCTTTATTATTCCCCCACAACACCTTTTTTTTTTTTAACAAGGAGAAAGCTAGTAGTGTGGAGCATATTGAGTTGGGACTGGGTCTCTATAAATGCTTTGTGCTGCCTCTTTAACCAGGAATCTGATTAGAAATTGCTAATGCCTAAGAACAGGGCAAGACTCTTAAAGAAATATGGGGTAACCAGGATTTCTGTTTTCCCAATGTAACGTGTATTAAAAGGTGGCAGGGCATAGGGGGGAAATCTCCATATTATTTTCCTGGATGGGAGAATCTGTGTGAGATTTATCTTTTAGAATGTACTTTTGAATAGCCTAGAATTCTGTTTGAATTATTGAAATCTTGACCAGCACAATCATCATTTGGAAGACCATGAGAACTCTGAATTTGCTTATTTACTGGTAATTATGGGTGCACAAATATATAAGTGATGCAGCCTGACTCATTCTCCTTTTAATGATCTAGGCAAATATTTTACATAGGCCATGGTCCAAATGAATAGGTCTTCTCCAAAAGTGAACTGATTTCTTTCTTTCTTTTTTTTTTTTTTTTAACTCTGTGATCTTTTTCACAGAACAGAACTTTATATCTTAAACTCTAAAAGCTTTAAAGCCCTAAATTTCATATATCAAGAGACACGGGCTTCACCCAACTTAAGGGTTTTGTCTTTGGCAGGCAATCTGCCCCAACCTTTGTGTCCTTATCCCTGAGGATTGTCATCATGAGATGACCCATAGAAGCTTGTAAGGGAAGCTGGAGGACACCCGGCTCTAGGAGAGGTTAGCACAGCAATGCCTGATTGCAGAACCCGCTTTGACGAGTTCAGAGCACATGCACACGCACACCCTGAAGGACGCTTCTGCCCCACAGAAGGGGCTGCCAGCTGTTCGGACTCACTGTGGCCTGCTCTGTGCTCAGATGTGTTAAGCTTTCCTGGGGGCTGCAGCTGCTATGGTATCTTTTTCCAGAAAGCCACCCACACCCCAAATGGACATTCCACTGATCACAGTTCGGTGGTGGCTGCTTGTAGCTTCTCTTTGCAGCAGCAGTGTTGCTTTCCACAGAGAAGAAAATATATATATATTTTCAACTTTGATTTATTGCCAACCCTGGAGGAAAAGGGGAAAAAAGATTAAGAAGTAATTTAATAAAGAGCAGAACCCTTTCTGTCGACAATCAGTTATTGCCATATTCATGAGGACACCGGGCTTCTTAGTGGGAACTAGGATGGCTCGAAGAAAGCAATTTATTGCTTTACTGTGAGATTTTAATCCCCTGGCTGGTAGGGCCCGCACCAAGAGGAAAAGAACACCGTCCTTTATTATCTGGGTATGAGCAGGGGACTCTCATTAGACAGCTGAAGGAAGGAGAGCGTTCCAAATTGGATGGAGAAAAAATGAGAGCCACAGAAAATGAGGCCGGTCTGATCCAGAATTAGGGGAACTGAATTTTATGTCCATGGCTCTTGCTGTGAGCTCTCTCTGTAACCCTGGGCAAGTCCTGGGGCCTCTCTTGGACAGGTTTGTCATCTACAAATAAAAGGGCTGGACAGGTGCTCTGGCTGTGACTGTGACAGTTAGCTCCCTTCCACCTCTGACCTTTGTGGTCTTTGCTTTCCGTTGTCCTGCATAAGAGTCAGGCACAGAATGAAAGCAGGTCCAGCAGCCTTCATTCTCTGGAGACATTGGTCTTGTTCTGTTTGAGAGGAAAAGATGGTACAAGCCAGGCATCCTGGCTGTCAGCTTTCTCTCTGGGAAGCCCACCTGGGGCTCTGTGTGTGGAACTCACAGGGAGTCAGGTTGCCAGGGCTCTGCTGTGGGAGTGTCCACCTGCAGAGCCTACCTCCAGCTTGGAAAGCCTGCTCTGTTGAGTAGACACTGTGTGAACTGCTCTTGGTGGTCCCTCTTTGTTCCCTTAGTTGTGTTCCTGTGAAGAAGCATGGAATAAGTAATGCAGGCAAATGGCTCATTGTGATGAAATGGCTTTTAGCTTCCAGGTGGCTTATGGAGGTTCCTGCTGAGCTTAGCAGAATTTTGGAGAAAGACTATCATTCTGCCTTTAGAGTGGCAGCCTCGATACAAACAGGAGCAGCAGCTTCTCATTTCATCTGAGATACTAATCATCTTGTTAGGCTATAATAGAGCGAGCAGTTTGCCTCAAAGAAGCAAAACCCTGGTGAATCACAAAACTGGTGCACTTCCAGTGGGGTGTGGGATGCTTCAGGGTCAGAGGTTCCTGGGTGCTAAGGAATCATGTTTGTGGGGTGTCATTATTTTAGGTTTAATTGGAAATCCCCCATCTCTACCTTATTCATAATACATTATTTACCCTAGCCCTGCTCAGGAAGAGATTTTGTGCTTTGGTTTGCTATTCTAATAGCTAGTGTGTGATTATTATTAATTTGCCTGTGAGGCACATTGACACCTTAGGACAGATGAGTAGACTTATCCTCTAAAGTGAGGGTCTCCATTCCCTCTCCCACTGCCACACTAGTACCAGTGATGGTTTCCCTGGCTTTATTCAAGGGAAGCTTGGCTACTCTGGTATCATGACTAACTGTGGCTACCAGGCCCTCAACTGACTGAAGCCTCAAGTGGGCAGGGGTAGAATTAGAAGCCAGCTCTGATCCAGTTATTTCATCAGAGACACGCACTGCCTGAATCTGGGCCTTCTCAGTATACAGAGCTGCTTTTACCTCATGGAAATTCAGACTTCCTAACCACTTGATTCTTCAGAGCAGGGATTGGTGGGAGTTATCTAAAAAAGTTGTATTGTAAATATCGTAGGAAGCCAGGTCTAGGGAAATCCTTTCCTACAGTCCCCAGGATCTGTGAAGAAAGACTCACAAAAACAGACTTTCTGACCACTTGTTTTAGTAAATGTCAGGCATGGAAGTCACTTTTGTTTCCTCATGAGAAAGTGGAAAGGACTCTAGCCTTTGGTTAGCATGGTACATATTAGGAAAGAAAGATGGACAGAGATGGATTTCATGAAGCAGCACAGTAAAGATTATGTGGAACACTGAGAGATGCAGAGGCAAGGGAAGGAAAGGTGTTGACTTTTGTCATTTTTTTGAAGGATAAAGTGAGATAAGGAAAGGGGAGTGTTCCAATCAGAGTCCACTGAGATTTGAGGTAACGTGTAAACTAGTCTGTTGTGTAATGCTGTAACAAAACACACGAGGCTAGGTACTTTATAAAGAAAGGAGGTTTATTTAGCTCGTAGTTTTGGAGGCAAAAAGACCAAGACAGGCAGCCCCACCTGTTCAGCTTCTGATTAGGACCTTTTGGCTGTATCACAACACGGCAGATGCATCGCATAGTGGGAATACCTGCAAGAGCAGAGAGCAGTGCCTTCAGAAGCAAGAGCTTGGGGAGGTGCCCTGCTCACATTGTCACAACTAATTTGGTAGCACAACAATGTGCTACTGATTTAGGCCCAGAAGAACTCAAAACCTTGAGAGCAGCATTAATTCATTCCCTCATCGTGAGTGGGGCCTCCAAAGCCTGACACCTCCCATTCTGCTCCACCTCTTAAAGGCTCCAGCGCCTCCCATTACCACCATACAGGAGACCAAGCTTCCAGCACACGACTCTGGGGGACAAGCCCTAGTAGGTGTATAACCAGAAAAGCAGTCAGGGTTTCATGCGACACTTGAATCATTCAGCTTCTCTTCCTCTTCTCCATGATCCTTCGATGCAAAGGCAGCAATAATCTAAAATTTGTCCCACACCACCTGTCTTGGTATTGGCCTTGTGTACAAGGAGTATCGGCTCTTTCTCCCTCTCAGGTCCTGGCCACGAGACCCAGGATTCAGGGGAATGCAGCCCAGGAAGAGGATGAGCACCCTTACGAGCTGCTGTTAACAGCAGAGACAAAGAAGCTGGTGTCAGTGGATGGAAAAGCAAAAGGTACAACCCCCTCCTGCCCCCCCATCGCCCTGACCCCTCCATGGCAGCCCCAGTTCCAAAAGAGTTTTACAAGTTTGTGATCTTGGGTGGAAGGGGAAGACCCTGTCACTTTGTCATTGGTTGGGTTGGGGCACTTGGGTTTCGTAGCAGCCTGGGGTGGTGGGCGCATCACAGTTTTTCATTTTCCACCTCTGAACTCCACATCCAGTTGGATTTGTCATCCTCTGCACATGTAGCCAGAGGAGGTTAGGTCGCCCATGTGGTATCGGCAAGTAGAGGGCCTGCCAGCATCACAGCAAAGGTGGATCTGGAGCCTCAGTCCTAAACCCTCACGGCCTTGTGTGGAAAACACGCCCAACAGGTTGGTCCCTTTGGGTTCAGGCTGACGGCACAGACTGTGCCTTTGAGTCCTGACCTCAGAGCGAGACACTCCTAGGGAGGGGCCCGTGATTGGCTGCCACTGAACTAGAGTGCTCTGTCGCCTTGGCCTACTTTCTTTGCCTCTGCAAAATTCAGTTTCCTGTGTGAGGGAGCGAGTGCTGCAGGACTGACATCAGCCTGTCAGTGTAAGTGCAGGCCCGACAGAGGTGAGTGTGGCTGGAGTCTCCTGTCAACCTAGTCCTCCCAAGGACAGAGCAGAGGGGCAGTGCAGTTCCCACTGCATTTTGAAGGAAGGCCCGGGGTCTTTCCCAGCTCCCCTTGGCTTGCAGGTTCTAAGTCCTTTGTGGGTATTAGTAATGACTCCTTTCAGCTCTGAGACCCCCCAGGGTTCTGATCAGAATGGGGGATAAGGTGGTTTCCTTTGAAATCCCCTCTGCTAGACCTTTCAAAGGGTATTGGATGGCAAAGAGAAGATATGCATATGTGTGTGACATTGCAGACCTTCTTTTTAATGGCCTTATTTAAAAATTTTTCTCTTCTGGCATGTAGACACTATTTTGTGGTCATTTCCATAGCAATCTTTGTTTTGTATTTTATGGTTTCCATTTGGAGCTTTAAAAAAGGGTCATAATTTAGATACATAAAGTTCATTCATTTTGTTTACAGTTCTGTTAGTTTTGAAAAATAGAGTTGTATAACTGTCTCCAGAATCAAAATACAGAACAGTTTGATCACACAAAAAAATTTCCCCATGTCTCTCTACAGTCAGCTTCTCTTAGCCTTGGCAACCTTTGCCTGATGTCTGTCCTAACAGGTTTGCCTTTTCCAGAGTGTTATATAAATGGATTCGGTCAGTATGTACACTTTCGCTTAGCATAATTCATTTGAGATACATGTGTTGTCACGTATATCAGAAATATGTTCATGGGGCTGGGGATGTGGCTCAAGTGGTAGCGCGCTATTCTGGCATGGGTGCGGCCCGGGTTCGATCCTCAGCACCACATACAAAGATGTTGTGTCTGCCGAAAACGTAAATAAAATATTAAAAGAAAAGAAAAGAAATGTGTTCCTTTTCATTGTTGACTTCTATTCTGTTGTATAGGTGTACCACAGCTGAGGTACATTTGGGTCATTTAGAGCTTTTGACAGTTACAAATAAAACTGCTATAAACATTTGCACACAGATTTTTGTATAAGCCTAAGTTTTCATTTCACTTGGATAAATGCATAGAAGTAAAATTGCTGGATCCTAGTAAATATTGTAAATATAGATATGTATATGTATATCATTAACTTTGGAAAGAAACCACCAAACCATCTTCCAGAGTGGTTGTACCATTCTACATTCTGTCAGCAGTGGTATGAGAGTTCCAGTGGACATGTGTCTTCCCTAGCACTTAATATTATGAGATTTTAAAATTTTTAGTCATTCTAAAATTTAGAATATGGGTTTAATTTGCATTTATCTAATTGAGAATCTGTTAATGGGATTATTTACCACTTAATGAAATATCTGTTGTTTATTTTTTATTTTTTTAAGGGGGGGGAGAATTTTTTAATATTTATTTTTTTTTTAGTTTTCGGCGGACACAACATCTTTGTTTGAATGTGGTGCTGAGGATCAAACCCAGGCCGCACGCATGCCAGGCAAGCGCGCTACCGCTTGAGCCACATCCCCAGCCCAATGTTGTTTATTTTTTAAAATCAGGTTGTTTCTTTTCTTATTGAGTTGTGAGTTCTTCATATATTTTGGACACAAGTTCTTTAATGTGTTTTTAATGTGACTTTGTCTTGACAATGTACTTTAAAGAGCAGAGATTCTTAACTTGAAAAAGTTTGTTTATGCATTTTTTATTAGTTTGCATTATGTGGGATTGAACCCAAGGCCTCAAACATGCTAGATAAACACTCTACCACTGAACTGCATTCCTGGCCTATTTTGTTTTATTTTAAGGTACGCTCCCACTGAGTTGTCCAGGCTGGCCTCAAACTTGTGATCCTCCTGCCTTAGCCTCCTGAGTAGCTGGGATTACAGGTGTTGCCACCATGCCCTGTAATTTATCCTTTTAGAAAAGTGGATAAGGTCAATATATTTTTCCTATGTTTTTTTTATAGAAATTTTCTAACTTGAAGTTCTACATTTAAGTCTATGGTCCACTTTAAGATAATTTTTGCATATATTCACTTATTTCAGCACTTCATTGAATTGCCTTTGAAGTTTCATTATTCTTTTTTAGAATTATTTTAGATATTCTGGATATTTTGTCTCTCCATACAAAATTAGAATTAACTTGTTGATTTGTACAAAAAGTCCTACTGGGATTTTGATTGGGATTGTATGGAATCTGTGTCACAGCTTGTGATGAGCTGCCATCTCTTTTTTAATATTTATTTTTTAGTTGTAGTTGGACACAGTATCTTTATTTTATTTTTATATGGTGCTGAGAATCGGACCCAGGGCCTCGCACATGCTGGGTGAGCACTCTACCCCTGAGCCACAACCCCAGCCTGAGGAGCTGCCATCTTAACTGTATGAAGTCATCCAAATAAGTTGGCACGTTTTTATCTAAAACATTCAAAGAGGGTGGAGTAGTGTACTGGTGGCTTCTCTAGGTACTTAAAGCCAAATCATACTGAAATTAACCCTCACAGAATAGGCACTTAATTTAATTTGAAAATGGTTCTCCGTGAGGGAAAATTCTTCAGCATCATTGGGGAAGAAGATTCCAAATCTTTCTGTCTTTCACAGGCTTCACCAGGACACCCAGCAAATAGCTAGCTCAACACTTGGAAGGAAAGAAGGGGAAGTTAGACAACTTCCCATGGCTGTCAGACGTCCTGGTGGGGATTTTCTGTCCCCAGTTCAGGAATTCTCCAGGTGAGGGAGGGAACAGTGGAAGAGGAGGAGGGCTTGCTGCCTGCCATGGGTTCCTCCTTTGCCTCAGCTGCCTCCAGCTCTGGCCCTGGGCTGCTTGAGCAGGCCGCGCTGGGAAGCAGATGGAATTGAAATGTAGGATGAGGCGCACCCCTCTGGGCTGGCTGTGTGGGTCACCAGGGGGCTTTCAGAAGAAGGGGTAGAAACATTACATATGAAAATGGGCTTGCCAGTGTCTCAGAAGCACCTCCTGTCTCATCAACTTGGCAGGAGTAGCTTGGATGGGAGGAGCACCCGCCAGGGTTGGTAAAGGGGAGGCAGTCATGCCAATCACTTTGTTTTTCCACTAAGGTCATTGTCTCATGCAGCTTTTATGAACTAATTGGTGAGCTTTCCAAAGGCTGTGTTATGGAGACCACCGGAGCTTCTAGCCCCTCAGTATATTCAAGAAAATAGAAGTGAGGGTCAAGTGGGAGGATTTTTTTTTTTAATTACATTTTAAAATCACATTAGTATGCACTCACTGAGAAGGAAATAAAATATTTTGAACAATACAGAAGTGAATAAAAATAAAATGGCAAAGGCCTTCTCACCTCTGTCCACAGAGTTGCCAGCGGTGGCCAGTCTGTAGTGTGTGCTTCGGGGCCATGTGCTGTCTTTATACAGAAGCGACTGTGAGAGGTTATTTTGTTTGTATTTAATCTAAAATGGGATCCTATTTCACAAGTTATTTTGTGGATTTGTTTTTTATATTTCCTTTGTCCGTGGATACAATTTTGTCTTGGTTCTTAAAATCTATCTTATTCTTAATAGCCACTAAATATCCCATAACTCATTTTTTCTTTTCTTATTCTTCAGTTGGTAAATGTTTACTTAAGCTATCTCCACTATTTCCCTGTTGTAAACTATGTTGCTGTGGATATTCTGTATATGTAGCTTTATACATATATATCTTTCTTTATATGCAGTGCTGAGGACAGAACCCTGTGCCTCACACACATGCCAGGCAAGCACTCTACCACTGAGTTACAGCCCTGGCCCCACATATTCTTATCAGAGTATTTCTTCAAAAGAATCTGAGAGAGTAGAATTAGCTGGTCAGTGCATGTCTTGGTTTAGTTGGTGGAGCCAACTCAGTCTTCCTGAACGGAGCACATTCTGCCGCAAGCCTGCCTGACTCGGCATAGTATCACTCTTGAATGTTTTAGATATATGAGTTTTTGTTTAGGTGTTGCGTAGAATTTGCATCTGCCTAACTCATGAACCTGTGCATTTTGTTGTTTATTCAGTATGTGAGTTGCCTTTTTTCTTTCTTTTACATAGAAATTAATTATAGTAGAAACATTTCATACCTATAATGTTTGGCCAAAGTAGTACTCAGAGGAAAGTGTATATTCTTGAGTTTATGTGTGAAAATAAATAATAATAAAACATCACCAAAAGAAAGCAGAGGAGAATAAAGAGAAAAGTGGATAGTATACTTCACATACTTGATGGTGTACAAGTTCTACTTCCATTAAAGAAAATAGAAAGGACTAATGGTATAAAGAAGCCAAGAAGTGTTAGACTTAATCATTCAAATGAAAACTTGTTTGTTTCTTTAAAGATCTCTGATAATTCTGATGGGGGTGGGAATGCAACATATAGGAATGATGTAGAGAATATTTGACCACAAATTAAGAGATTGTAAAAGTTAATAATAAGAGAATTTATAGGAACACCTTTAGTGTAGTAAGTAAGAGTT